AATCTAAATTTTTATATTTGGTACAAAGAATTAAATTTTTGTGAATTCAGTTTTATATATTTAAATATAACGAAACCAAATTCTATAAAAATAGATTTTTAAAATAAAACTTCACAAAATTAAACAATAAAAAGCTTTATAGTAAATTTTTATCATTCTAAAATTATTATGCCAAAAATATTTTAGGTGATAAAAATAAATAAATTTTTTATTTTAAATTTATTTTAAACATGAAAAGACATTTATAAATGAATTATAGATACAATTTAATTTGTAAATTAATCTCACATTTTAAATTCGTTTATAATAAAGAAGCGAGTATTAAGAGTTGGATTTATAAAAAAATATTGACAGAAAGAAACAACTATAAATTCTAAAATAAAATTAATTAATCTCATTTTAAAAAATGAGCATAATTGATTTGTCTCTTAAGTTTTTTTTATCTTATTTTAATTAATATATTTTTTTTACAATATTTTATCACCAATCAAACATGTCCTTAGTAAAGCGGCCAAGGGATTTAAAATCAGAGAAGACTTCCTTCTCGGAGTGGGTCCCGACGTCCTTTTCTTCCGTCGCACGAGGGCTTGGGTATCAATTGTTCAAGTACTAATATGTAATATCCATTCGTGTGCTATTTCCTTGACTTTTTTTTTTTTTTTTTAATTTTAAATTTTAGTAAGGAAGGTGTTATTGTCATTTGTCAAATATCTAAATGTGGATTGAGTTGTCACATTAGCCATACTGCACTTATGACATGTTTCAATGCGTGATAACTCATATAATTCAAATTTTGAATATGATTCAAAAAAAAAAAAAAATTGAATTTCTATCCATGTGGCGAATATATGCCACCGAATATTAATTCAATAAAATAAATATTTTATCGTTGTATTTTATCGAAATACATTATTTCACCTTTGCAATTTTATAAATACTTTTTGGCTATGTTACAATGTTAATTTTTCTGTCAATCTGTTGTACTTTTTGTGCTAAATGCTAAAATACTTTTAAAAAAAATAAGGATAGCTTAATTAATTTTAAAAAAAATACATTAAGAAAATAATAAGTTATTGATGAAGAAAAATAAAAAAATTGATAAAAAAATAATAGATCGAGGCAAAAGATAAAAATAAAACTATGTATTTTTAAAAATGGAACAACAATATTGTATATTATGCAAAATATAAAAATAAAATTGTAATTTTTCCTATTTATATTTTGACATTTCCAATTAAAATATATATATAAAAATAACTTTCAAGTGTTATTACAAATTTCTCGGTCTCATTAACTATCCAACTATTTAAGATTTTCTAGTGAGTGAATTCGAATTTCAAATTTTTTAAATTTTAAATGGATCAAAGTATTGCATTAGAAATGAACATATAAAAAAGCATAATTTAGTCATAGTTTAATATTCTTGGGATATCTACGTTTAAAATGAAAAAAAAAAAAATTAACCCGATAGTTTTTTTCATATGCTCAGTCTACGTGAGATTATTTAAAATTTTAATTGCAAATAATGTGCAAAGATTGATTTGTGATATAACTTTACTAAGAATGAAAGAAAAATTGATTCCAATAGTTTCATTGTTTAAAGATTATCCTTATAGCTATTGAATTTTAACTCTATAATTAAATGTTTATCATTAGTGATGCATATATTTAGAACTTAATAATCATATTGTTTTAATAAACCTTTAATATACCAACAATAATGAAAAAGAGTCATTGTTTTTTATGAGTTTTTTTATATAATTTTCTAAAAAATATTTTCATATATTTTTTGAGTATGCGACTAATCTTATTTCTTTAATATAATTGTTGTTCTGCAAATATACTTCTTATTTTGCAAAGATCGTCCACTGAATTCAAATATACATTACTATTTGAATTACATATAGATTTTATGGGTTTTTTACTTTTTAATTTATCAATTGAGTAATTTCACAGAACCATTTATACATATAATATTAAATTTCCCCTGAGTATATTCACATAAAGCTTAAAAAATTTATGAACGAGGAAAATACTCATTTTACGTTAAATTAAATCATAATTAATAAAATAGGATCAAAATTTAACATTTTGACAAGTAGAAGTTGTTCATGATGCTTGTTTGAAAGGAACAAGATAACCCATCCATAATAGAGTTTGATTTGAAGTAAAAGGCAATTCTGAATTGTTTGTTTGTGTTTGAAAATTTGAAAATTTTCCTTTCAAAAGGAAAAAAAAAAAAGAAAGAAATTTGAAAATTTTGAAAGGAGGAGTGTAACAAAAGAGAAGAGAGAGGTCCCTGTCTGGCTTCGGTCCAGCTAGACAGGTGGGACCCTTCCCGAAATATTTGACTTTAATAGGGCTATTGCGTTTACAAGTGGGAAAATTCTTATGAAACGTGTCCTCCAACTCTTCCTGTGTTAGTTGGAATTGGTTAGCTTAAAATAGACGTTTTTCTTTTTCTTTTTTCTTTTTATATTTGTTTTATATTACCTTCTTCCTTCTATGTGATTTCTATAAATACATAACAGCAAGTTGTTAATTACATATTTATAGATAACAACTTGAAGATTGGGCCGAAAGAAGTATATTGCATTTCTGAGTAAACTTTTTATTTGTAAGATTAGAAGATGGAAATCTGAATTGCAATTGTAAAAAAAAAAAAAAAAATGTAATATTACGTGGATTTGATTGATATAAAAAATAAAATTTAATTTGATTGTTAGCTATTATCCTTTTTATTTTTAATAACTCTGTTTATAAACTCTATTAATTTTGCTAAAATCATATTTGAATTTCATCAACTTTTATGAAATTATCCTATAGTATTTTAACATTTATTTTAATACACGAAAGTTTCAATGAATTGGAATAACGTTGCGGGCTACACAGCAAAAGTAGTCGTTCCCTTCGAATAATTTCACTAAATTGGTGATATTTTTTGTGACGCAGATGACTTAAATTCAAAACTTTCCGCTCTCTACATTTTTTATAAGAGATAAGAATAGTAACTAAGACCATACTTGATTAACACAGTATTTAACATTTAAAAATTAATTGATGAATCATGATGATGATACTACTTGATTACAATGAAAAAGAAAAGAAAAGTTAAATTCATTTGAAAATGAGATTTTTAGTAGTTTGAGAAGCAATAAATACTATTATTCTAATAATTATTGTAAAAAGAAAAGTAAATCCATTTAGTTGATTGCATACTCCATTACCCATTTTGCCTTTTCTTTACTGTTATAGTCTTTAGTGATGAACTTTCCTAATCTAATCTAATCTAATATTTTGTGGGATCAATTAGGTTTTGATTTATTACCTCTACATGTAATAATGGGAGTGGGAAAGTAATATTTATCAAATAATAATAATAATAATAATAATAAAGACTTAAATAGTGGAACCCATCTTTGGGGTGGGCCTAAGCAAAATCTTTTTTCTCATTAGACCTACCAACCCAAATTAGGGGATTTGCTTTTCTTTTTTTCTTTGCTTTTCTTTTTTTTTTTGTTACAAGTCTTTTGTTTTGACATTAGGGAACCGACCAAATTATTAGTGAAAGCAATTGCAATATAAACCATCAATTATCCTTTCATGGACTTTCCATTATTTGAAAATGTGTATAAAAATAAAAAAAATAAAAAAACATCATTTGTTGTTCCAACATCATAGGGATTTAGTGGGCTCATAAGCTAAAGTCCAAAACACTACAAAATAAGGGCACTTTCTAAAGATCCAATAGATAACTGAATTGGGCTACAAAATGGTGGTGGGCCAAACATCCATGAGTAAGGAATGTCCTGTTCGGAAAATAATAAATTAATATGTAAAATATGATTTTATCAAATAAATAAAATTCTTTTTGAAATATTTTCACTCATAACCCTTTATTTTTCACCTATCACATCATTATATTACTAATTATTACATAATTAACTTTTATTTTTTAATTAATAGACAAAATATCTCACTTCATTATTAATAATAATTTTACACGTTGTAACATATTGAATTTCAAATACGTGATTCATATAAATTTAAAGATAATATAAATATTTTTAAAATATTAGTAATTATTCACATAATATATAATAGACAAATATCTTTCACTTCATTATTTAATAATAATTTTACACGTTGGTAACATATTGAATTTCAAAATACTGTGATTCATATAAATTTTAAAGATAATATTAAATTATTTTTTTAAAATATTAGTAATTATTCACATTAATATTTATATATATATATATATATTTAAATATAATATATTTCTAATTATTATAATATATTTCTAATTAAATAAAATATTTTTCTTTTCTAATTGCATATTGTTACAATAATATATTACTAAAGAATTTTTTTTTTAATTTTCAAATTAGATTCAAATGTTATTTATTATGCAATTGTTTTTATATTAGCATTTTATTATCCAATTATTCGTGTTTAGGCACACTGTTTATATCATATATTTTTGATTTATATATTCATTTTTTTTATCAATTATTAAGATTCTAAAAGTAACACAAATTATTGTCTTTGATTATAAATAAATCAAACCTGATTTTATTAGGTGTTTGATTATATATATATATAGTATTATTAGTATCCTGTTTATATTTGTTTCTTATTTAATATTAAATTAATTAATTTTTTTATTAATAATAATATTTATTTTTAATCTAATTGAATTTAATTTTTTATAATAATATATTATTTTTATCTAATGAATTTCAAATACCGACAGTTATAGGCAAAGAAATAGTTTTTTCTGATTAATATTATTAAATTATCAGTTAAATTTGTATTTTTTAATAAAATTTAATTAATTAAATAAAAAATTTGTTAAAAATAATAAATTATCATTTTATTTTTTAGCCAACTAAAAAAAAGGGTCATTATCAAATTTAATCCTGTCGATTTTTTTTAACGCCAATGTTCGATATTATAGAATTATAGAAAATAGATAAATATATAAGCAACAAACCCTAAACCCTAAAATATGGAAGCGTAACTTAAAGCAACAGTTATCTAATCATCTTCTCCACTTCCTTTGGCCAAAGCCCTAGGTCGCAGTCGCCATGGCCGTAATAGAGAAGGAAAAGAAGCCACATGCTTCTCAGGATGAAGAAAATAAGAAGAATAGGAAGCGAAAGCGAAACCGAGCGAACAAAGCTCGAGTCACAGAAGAACCAGAGGAAAATCAAATTGAAGAAGAAGAAGTTGAAAATGAAGACGAGGAGGAGAGAGAAATCGAGAGTGTGAAATTAAAGAAGAAAGAGAAGAAGAAAAAGAAGAATAAGAAGGTGGAGAATGAGGTGAAGAACAGTGAGGAGCAGAGTGCTGAGGAAGAGTTGGATGAAGAAGACACGAAGAAGGAAGAAGCGGAGGGAAATGACAAGGAGGAGAAGAAGGTGAAGAGCGGGAGTGGCATTATGAGTACAGAGTCCTTCGAATCTTTAGGATTATCTGAGCCCACCTTCAAGGCTATTCAGGAGATGGGATTTCAGTATCTAACTCAGGTATTTTTATTCAGAGTTTTTTATTTTTTTTCGTGTGCGCGCTAAAAGTAAGATTCATGGAAATTATAAGTTTTCTGTTATTTCCAAGAAAAATTCTGAAAGAAATGAAAGAAATTTTAATAAAAAACAGATGGTGTGAAACTAAAAACAGACGAATGGTAATTGCTTGCAACAATGGAGGATTATCTATCAAATTATATTATCATATTTTTCTATTTCTTTTTCATTCATGCCATCTACTTACGCAGATTCAAGCTAGAGCTATTCCGCCCCTTCTAATTGGCAAAGATGTTCTTGGTGCTGCAAGGACTGGTTCTGGGAAAACACTTGCTTTCTTAATACCAGCTGTGGAGTTGTTATATAATGTTCGTTTCACCCCTCGCAATGGAACAGGCGTTGTTGTCATTTGCCCTACAAGAGAACTTGCCATACAGGTGAAGTTATCGTTATAACCTCATGGCATGCTGATTTTTGCATCTTTTGGCCAATAGTTTTAGCCAATGCTACATAATAACCTATCAGCTAGAATGTCTGTAAATAATCTCTAAGCAAGTAGTGGAATTACTCGTATTGAATGATATTTGCTGCTGTTTGTTTTTTTTTTTTTTTTTTTTTTTACTCGTATTGAATGATATTTGCTGCTGTTTGTTTTTTTTTTTTTTTTTCATTTTGTTCTGTAAAGTTGAAATCAAATGATTTTGGGCTATTCTTGCTTCTTGCTACTTTGAATTTTCTTGCTGTTTTTTAAAAAATTTTAAAATCTAACTTCTAAGGGTTGCTCGCATCTTTGTGAAATGCTGCTGTTTTTTTTTTTTTTTTTTTTCATTTTGTTCTGTAAAAGTGAAATCAAATGATTTGGGCTATCTTGCTTCTTGATATTTGAATTTCTTGTGTTTTTAAAATTTAAAATCTACTTCTAAGTTGTGGCATCTTTGTGAACCCTGTTATACTGCCAAATTAGTCATTCGCTACTTAGAAAGATGGATCCCAAGTGTTTGGTGGTCTTAACGTCAAAGCAATGGTTGACTATTGTACTCTATAGTGATATCTGGTCTTCTTCCTATTCAGAAGCTGTAGGATTTTCCATCTTATCGAATAATTTTAAACCTTGATTAGTCTGCACCATAAATTATGTGATTGGTTGATTTTTCCTTGCAATTTGATGATATTTAAATTTTTTTTTAATTTATTAATTTATTCATCTTAATCATAGCCTGAGAAGAAGGTGATGTGACTTTGCATTGGCTGCATCTATAGGTTATAAATTTACTTGTTACTCATAATTAGAAGTAAAAGAAAGAACAAGTTTTAGCATTTTCCCAAGAAATGGAGCTTTGGCCCAGGTAGAATGGACTCAGATCAAATGGAATTAGTAGTGAAGAAATAGCTGCAAATACCACAGCCATGTAGGCACGCTTGGCACCATGAAAATGTCCATGCTCAAACTTGCCGTAAAAAATTACACATAAAGGAAATGTATTTTCTGCTTAATATTTCTATATGTGTATTAATAAGTCTATCTATCAATATATTATCTTCTGCTATGCAATCTTTTTAATCTTTCAGTTTTCTTGATTCATCCTTCAAGAGTACTTATTTCATAAACAGTCAATGATTAGAGAAGCTTAGTCCCATTGTTGAGACTATAGCTGTTAAATATTATGGTTTCGTATGCTGCCTTGGCTGTTTTAACTCCTACATTCATCTGCCTATTTCAACATTCAAATGATTCAGACTCATGCTGTGGCCAAGGACCTTCTCAAATACCACTCGCAGACACTTGGCTTGGTTATTGGGGGTTCTGCTAGAAAAGGAGAAGCAGAACGTATTGTTAAAGGGGTAAATTTATTGGTTGCAACCCCTGGTCGTCTTCTTGATCATCTTCAAAATACGAAGGGTTTTATATATAAGAATTTGAAGGTAATGTATAGATATATTCTTTAATCTTTGTGATTGTACACACATACACACACAGACCCTCTCCTTCTCTCTCTCTCTCTAAAAACTAGGGTTTTATACATATTTCCAAAATCCGAAGTGTTTATATACTTTTTCTCAGAAAATAAAAAAAATTGTTTGCAGTACATGCTATGTTCTGATTTATTCAAAAAAATTCCAACTTGTAGTGCCTCATGATCGATGAAGCAGATAGGATACTGGAGGCGAACTTTGAGGAAGAAATGAAACAAATCATCAAGCTTCTACCGAAGGTAAGTTAATTAGAAACACCACATCATTTGCTGAGAACGTCCTCATAAAGCATGGTGTAAATACAACTGTGTCAAACAGGCTTATGATTTCTGTCTTGGTAGTAGTGATAACAGCAACGGTTAACTAAGCTTTTCAAGTGCTGTAATAATTACTTTTGTTGCTACATTGACCTCGTTGACTCAATTTTTGACTTCATTTTATCAATGGCAACAGAGGTTCGTGGATTGTTTTAAAAATATTTCTCGATTGTTGTCACTAGCTGAAAATGGGTTTTGACTGATAACACAATGCCTAGATTGGCAATAGTTTCTTGCTTTCAGTAGTTGCAATCATGTAGTACTTTAGTTTTGTATTAGGTACCATTAATTTTTTTTTCACCTAATCGGTTTTCTAATTAATGTGCAGAATAGACAAACTGCTTTATTTTCGGCAACTCAAACTAAGAAGGTTTGTGTTCAGACTGCAGAATCTTTCATTGTGTTCAGATTTATTTTCTATATCGGTTCACCTAGTCATGTTTATCTGTTAGATATATCAGTTCTCTCTCTATGTATAATTCAATAAGTCGGTATTCAACAGAAACAGCCTTTCTGCTTTTCTAAAGTGAAATTTGAAGTTCATTGTTTCCTTTTTGACTGTGCTGAGGGCTGATACTGTTTCTTTTTCTAATTAACTTCCAGGTCGAGGATCTTGCCCGCTTATCGTTTCAGACAACGCCCATCTATATTGATGTGGATGATGGAAGAACTAAGGTGGATATGTTATTGGCTATTTGGTTTCTTAGTCTGTGATGAATTCTGGCCCTATATATACATGTTTGCATGCACAAAAAGATCTGTGCCTTTAATCTATCAGATGTTGGGCATTGTAGGTCACAAATGAAGGTTTGCAGCAGGGCTATTGTGTAGTGCCTAGTTCCAAGAGATTTATTCTTCTCTACTCTTTTCTAAAGAGGAACTTATCGAAGAAAGTAATGGTCTTCTTCTCTTCATGTAACTCCGTAAAATTCCATTCCGAACTTCTCAGATACATTCAGGTCGAATGTTTTGACATCCATGGGAAGCAAAAGCAACAAAAACGAACCTCTACCTTTTTTGATTTCTGCAAAGCAGAGAAGGGGATATTGCTATGTACTGATGTAGCAGCACGTGGACTTGATATTCCTGCTGTGGTATGTATCTTGTGACTTGTTTGTTTGGTCGTGATTAATATGTTTTAATTCCTTCTCTTGTAATTGTTATAACAATAACCTCAATATATTGCCCGGACCCCATCCCAAACCACCACCCCGGGTATGTATCCTCTGTTGACCTCTGTTTGTTCTTGTCCGTATTATATATGGTTTTTAATTCACTTCTCTTGTAATTGGTTATAACCAATAACCCTCAATATATTCGCCCACAGAACCCCCACCCCAAAACCCAACATCACCGCCCCATCCTCCCCCCCCCCCCTCTCCAAAATTTAAAAACACTACAGGCACCACAATATAACAAAAAAAGGAAATTGGCATTGGACAAATATTTATCTGTCTTCTTTTAAGTTGAACATGTCCCGATTGTTTTTTGTAATTATAGAGATAGTTATGTATTTTTAGGATTCATCTCGCCAAACATGCTGCCCCGCACCCGTTCATTGTTAGAAAGCCAAAAACTGGTTCCTCTTGTTAGCAAAAGCTCACATTAAAGAATATAACATTGTATTATGTATTTTGAACTTGTTTGCAGAACTTTGTTTCCTAAATTGTGACGACATTGATTTAATTAATTAAGGAATCCAATGCAGGAAAGTTTTCATACCCATATGCTGATATTAAAATTTTAAATGAAATCTAGAGCACACATACATGTGGCGAATATATGGGAAGTTTGATGGAATATTAATTTGAATGGCATTGGTGAAAGGAAATTATAAACCACTATCTACTTCACTTTACTGCTTCTTATCAAATTCTTTTGCATTATGAATAAATGGTTGTTTAGTTTGTGGCTAAAGTGAAATGGAGGTTGTGTTTTACAATTAAACCCCCCTAGTTCGATTCTAACTGGAAGCTGCAGACGATAGGGTCCCACCTTGGTTAAATGAGGGATATATGATTATAACACAAAGCCTGTTAATTCCTTCGACAGAGAAAAAAACAAAAAACTGATTCTGAAAGTTGGGATCACCAATACAGCTTATAACGGGAAATAACCTGATTAGCGGGTTTGGCCTGGGGTTTTTAAGGTGATTTGCAGCTCAGGATACATCTATAACAAACCTCACCCAATGTCTAGTGAGCTATATTTTAATCGTTTACTATAATTATCATATATGAGTTATGGTGTGTTATTCTTCCCAATTAGAGATGGCTACGATTCGGGTGAAATTTTGTTCAGCAAGCTTTTTGGAAATTGCCGCTGCGCGGAATCATTTCTTCCTTATATTACAATTTTGTATAAGTGTGGTCCAGATACAAAGTGGCTAGCCTTTAGCCCTCTCTATCAATGGGAAATGCTTATATATCTTCTTGGTCTTGTCCGGTTAGACTTACTCTGAATTAAGGAAATAACGAATTTATACTTGGGAACTTCAAGTACAGGGTGATTCTGTCTCTAACATATTTTGTTATATTCCAATTTTAGCGTTTGCAAGAAAGGATTTGGTGGAACGTATAAGCGTTGTGATCTCTAACCATCATTAGGACCTCACCAAGGAAAAAGCCCTTAGTTTTTAATTAACAGTCTCTGTGTAGAGTAGAAAGCCCATTTACCTATGGAAATCTTCTTTTTTTTTTTTTTTTTTTTTTTTTTTTTTTCCAGTTTGGTTATTAAGTCGATTAATGCGACCCTTTTTGTTTTATGCTCCTTTCTATGTAGTCGACTGGATATTAGCTATGCAGTTATGATCCTCCTGATTTTGAACCAATGGTTCCTTACGTTGATCTTTCTGCTTAGCGTTAACATGGCTTTTTAATTGAGAGTTCTCTTCGTGGCCGCTTGGGTTATTCTCTCCCTAAACTATATAATACAGTATTAGATTGTGAAAGCCCTCCTTATAAATAAAGTCTATGTTCCAAGGAAAAATAAGATAGGCATTCCACATCACTGGTTGAGTCGTGAACATAGGCGCTCTGTGCGAGACAGGAGGATAAAGGGAAATGCTCTGCCTTTTTTCTGATTCCAGAAGAAGTTTGGCCGCTAATATTATTCTCGCACTTTTTTTTTTTTTTTTTTTTTTTTTTTTTTCCAGTTTGTTAATGTTAATGACCTTTTGTTTTTCTTCCTTTCTTGTAGGACTGGATAGTGCAGTATGATCCTCCTGATGAACCCAAGGTTCCTACGTGATCTTTCCTGGTTAACATGTTTTAAGTTTTTGTCTAGCTTGTTATTTTCATTAACATATAGATTGGAAATTTATAACTTTCAGGAGTACATTCATAGGGTTGGTCGTACAGCCCGTGGAGAAGGAGGAAAAGGAAATGCTCTGCTTTTTCTGATTCCAGAAGAGTTGCAATTTCTGCGTTATCTGAAGGTATGGTAAATATTAACAGGGTTTAAATGCAATATAGACTTATTTTCGAATCATTAGGACCATAGTCCTTTCTCTGGGGTTTGTCGCATGAATGAAGAACTAGCTACCATGAATTCTGGTGATTACTAAATGGAAAAGAAAAATAATTAAAGGGTAAAGTTTACTATTATAATTGCTCGTTTTTATTCTAACTTCATATGTACTTCAGGCTGCAAAAGTCCCTGTTAAAGAATATGAATTTGATGATAAGAAGCTAGCAAATGTTCAGTCTCATCTGGTATGCTCTTGTTTTCCTTGGTACATTTTATTTTTCCTAGTAACTGAAGTGGAAAGAAGTTTAGACTGGCTATTCTATTGGTGCAGGAAAAGTTGGTCAGTAACAATTATTATTTGAATAAGTCTGCTAAAGATGCATATAGATCCTACATATTGGCCTACAATTCACACTCTATGAAAGACATATTTAATGTCCATCGCCTTGATCTGCAGGTATCATCTTTATTCCTTTCATTCTTAATCTGAAGGAAATGATGTTTGAGAATGAATTTTGGTTAAAGTGGTATATTTCGATTCAGAGTAGGGAAGAAAATTTTGCTAGGAACCACATATTGTAAGGGAGTCTTTTCCTTTCCTTCTGAAATCTTAATGTAATCTCATCATTTTTGTTAGTTCTCACCAAATATGAAGTACGGACACTTCAATCTTGAATGCATACCGTATCAGATACTGCTCCCAACACATCAATATGACATGAAACGACTTGCTTCCAGTACCTGGGTCATGTCCTTTTTGTTTTTCTAAACAGCAGCTCAAGCAGAAATGCCAAACATACGGTATATGCCTTTTGTGACAAGACTGATGGTTTAATATTGTTGGAATTTGGCAGGCGGTTGCATCTTCATTTTGCTTTTCTTGTCCACCAAAGGTGAATCTGAACATTGACAGCAGTGCCTCCAAATTTAGAAAGAAGGCACATAAAGGAAGTCGAAATGGATTTAGCGAGAGCAACCCTTATGGAAGGCAGAGGGATGAAGAAGATAAACGACAATTCGTAAGACATTAGCAGGAGGTATCTCAGCAAGCCACATTAATGTACCTTGATAAACTGTAATTTAGCAGTACCATGGGCATAGTGGTCCTCCACAAAAATTTTGTTTGCTTGTTTGTTGTGATCTGCTCTGATGTTGATTATACAATCATTCATAGCATAATTCAAAATTTTTTAATATTTTGTTTTTTGCACTGATAAATTTTATCGACCTTATTAATGCGCCTATAAATTTTATTTATCTCTTTGAACTTGCCATACATATTCAATTAAGTTAAATAAGTTATTGAATGAATTTGGATAGCTGATAGCTAATTTTTTAGCATGAAATTGGACTTAATTGAACTTGAATTGAAAGATCAATTGTCCATTTCAAATTTATTCAAAAGTCGTTCTGGATCTCATAGGATATTTTTCAAAAGTTCAAAGATACATTGAGGAATATTAAAGGAAAGATAAAAAAAAAACAAAGCCTAATTTCAGTTATTATAAATCGGTCCATATATATAGGAATAAAGTTCAATCTCCTACCTGAATCTATATGGGAGCAATATTCAATTTGTCCAGAGTCAACTTTTTATTTTACCTCCGGGATTTGTATCAAAGAATATAATACCCAATTTTCTATAAAAAATAAAATTCAATATTGTTAACTAATAAAAATTATTTAAAAATTTTTAAAATTAGGAAAGAAAAACTTTTTTATAAATATAACAACAATTATAAAAAATTATTGTCTTGTCTTTGATTTAAAAAATAATTAAATAAAATATTTGATTTAAAATTTTATAGAATTTAATTAAATTAAAATATTTTGATTTTAAAATTTTTATAGAATTTATTAAAAATATTTAATTATATGAATATTTTGATTTAAATAAATATTTTTTTCAATTATTTTTTCTTAATTGTGTATTTGATGCTAAATAAATATTTTAATTTTACTTTAAATATTTATTTCTTTTAAGCAAAAAAAAAGGGATTTTATTTCTGTCTTTATTCAAATTCAGAATTTAATTGATTATATGAATATTTGATTTAAAAAATATATTTTTTCAATTATTTCTTAATTGTATTTGATGTAAATTAAATATTTTAATTTTAATTTAATATTTATTTTCTTTTAAGCAAAAAAAAAGGGATTTTTATTCTTTTATTGCAAATTCAGAAATTAAATTGTATAAAAAGATAATTTTTAGCCAAATTGAAAATTGTTTCTAAATCTACATAGCAAATTGAGCTATATTCTGTTCGAATATATATAAAATAATATAATAATATTACAGAATTAGTTATGAAACCCAAAAGTGGAGTGTAAGAAGTAAACCCAAGAGTAACGAACTTGACAGATGGGTATGGATTACATTATGAGTGATGCATGATGTGAAGTGGCAATGGGCACACCAACCGACACCTCTTTCCTTTTCTGACTCCAAACTCCAATCCATAGGATATAAAATATCATCTCTTCTATTTGTTATTCTTTCTTTATACTATCAAGAAAATCAAACAGTCATAGGCTTCCACTTCAAACCCACCACCGAACTGATAGGTAAAGTCTTTTTCTTTTTTACCTCCACGTCTTTTGCTTATCCAGTTCTTCTTCTTCTTTGTTTTTTTTATTTTTATCAATTGTATCCAGTGCTAATGGTTTGGATCATCTTTTTATTTTCTTGTTAATTCCTTTTTCCCTAATGGGTTGCTTGGGTTTGCGTTTCTTTGTTGTTGTTATTGATTCATTCTCTGGTTACTGGATGAAGGGTTAGATAATTGTCAAATTGTTTTATGTAATGGTTTTGTTCTTATGTGGTGATTTGAGAATAATCTTTGCTAGAAGAATAGATCAATTTTCTTTTCTTGTTCCTGAGAAATTTGTTATCCTAGTTTGGTAAAAACATGGATTCTTTGTAGCCTCTTATGTGGATGAACTGATGCCAATTAATTTGCAGTTCTCCCCAATTTTTCATCCATTCCAAATCAAAAGCTAGATAGATGAGCTTTGGAAATTCAAGGGTTTTCATTTAATTTCTTTTTGGCATTAATTAATGTGAATGAAACAAAATGTTCTCAAATTCATTTGAAATATCATATTTTCATGTTTGGTATAAATGAAAATATTCAGTTTAGTGAATTAAACATAATTAAACTAAATTCTACTCCCTCCGACCCATTTTGTTTGCTTGTTATTCCTTTTTTGGATGTTCCAAAATATTTGCAAGTTTTCTAAATTTAGACATGTAAATAATTATTTTTCCATAATAACCTTTATAATTATTCATTGAAGGAAGGACTTTTAGTATCTTAACAGTTATTAAGGGAAAAGAATGACAAATAACTTTTGTTAACTAAATTTTTAATATGCGAATTTTGTCAATCCATGCAAATAAAATGGGACGGCGAGAGTATAATCTATAAGTGACTTATATATTTCAAATCCATTTATACCAAATAAAGGGTTAGCCTTTCCTATTTATGTTACTAATGTTTGTTCATTTTCCTATGGAATATGAAGACTAATTTAATAGTGTTTGCTTGCTTACATATGACATTAAACTTGATAAAGACTCCCAAGCTCAATTCCTTGGAGTTTGTAGTATGGCTACCAATTTGTAACAGTTGGTGGCATATGGATTTCTGGATATACCTTGAAGAAGGATTTCTTGTTGATGAACTTTAGGAGTTTTAGTCTAAAATTGAATTTCTAATCCTTTTTTTTTTCTTTTTGTAGTCTCTCCTAACATAATCCATAATTTTTGTTTTCTACACTTTCAAGAACTGGAGTGAAGAAATTTTTCTGGTACACATGTAGGTCAAAATTATCAGTCTTATAGAATTTTAGTTACGGAATTGATTCTATCAGTACAAGTTGTACCGCCAGTGAATTTTCCAAAATTTGGCATAAGCATGTTGTCTTTTTATGCTTTTGCCAGTTCTGAATGCTACTGATCTTTGAAAAGCATTCTATTTTACATACCAATAGAATTAGAACAAGACTATTCACATTCTTTTGAGCTGGATGATGATTTGATGAGCTACTTGTATGGTAGATGTTACATTATGTTTATTCTTACATATCGACAAGCAACAATAACTCCTGGCAATAGGCTGGGCTGGGGACTGATTCAGTGCTTAGAATAGAAAGGAAATCAGGAGTAATACAAGTCCAAACATTCGCATTATGAATGTAATTCTCATTTTCTTGCTTCTTTATCCAAATTAATGCATATGTATAGGATTGACATTTGAACTTTTCATTATAAATTACTGATGTAAAAGCTGTAATATAAATTGTGGATTTTTTTTGGAGATCGGTGGTGTAGTGAGATGGACTCTTTGATGATAGATTGCAAAGAAAGGTGCATTGTAGTTTTTAAAGCTATATTTCTTTCACCTTGTCATTTACAAGGATGATAATATTATTTGAAACCAATTTGGCATAGAGTCATAATTTATTTGAATGTCCATTTTGCTTCATATATGAGTAATGTGTTCTTTATTTGAATTTGGTTATTGAAATTTTGACAGCTTTTTCTGCAGGGTAATCTATGGCTAGCATAGCAACTGCCGAAGCTTGCGATTCAAATACTGTGCTTTTGGCGAGTGGCGACTTGCGAGCTTTACAACCGATTTTCAAGATATACGGCCAGAGCCGATCATTTGCAGGCCCCATTGTCACTCTTAAGGTTTTTGAGGACAATGTGTTGGTTAGGGAGATTCTAGAAACTAGAGGCGAAGGAAGAGTTCTAGTTATAGATGGTGGTGGAAGCATGAGATGTGCTCTGGTTGGAGGGAATTTAGGACAATTAGCTCAAAATATGGGATGGGCTGGAATTGTAGTGAATGGATGCATCAGAGATGTAGATGAGATTAATGGATGTGATATTGGTGTAAGAGCATTGGCATCACATCCTACGAAATCCAACAAGAAAGGCATCGGTGAGAAGCATGTACCTGTGAACATTGCCGGAACTCTCATTCACGACGGGGAATGGTTGTATGCGGATAGTGATGGCATTCTTATCTCAAAATCTGAGCTCTCTATTTGAACAGGCACCTTAATGTGCCTCGAACTTCATGTTGCTCGTCTCATAAGAGGTTAGGATCCTGACCGCACACACATAATTTCGAGTTTTTTGTACCGAGGAAAAGGAAGCATTGCTTACATCAAACAATAGATGGCTGATATAAATGTTTTTTTTGCCTGGAATTAACTGGATTCATATTTCAATAATGGTGGTCAAACAAGTTAGCTCTTGAATTATTTACCAGTTGTATACTACTATTTCAGATTTGGTCATGAAAATGTAATATTTTAGATGGTATTTTGATTCAAAAACAAGTATATTGTTAATGTTTAGACATAGATGTACTGCAGTTCAACTCCAAAAGCATGGTTTTAGAATTCAGGCTATTCTTATTTAGAGAACTTACTAGATGGAAGCTGGTACGGTAAGAGTGTCCCTGCGGGGAACTGGTGCCAACTACAGTCATGGATGGTTCTTTTCAAGTGAGATGCCATTGCCTGATGCTCATAATTTTGTGCTTTTTTTTTTTTTTTTTAATTTTTTCACGTGAGATGGCCATTTGCCTGATGCTCATAAATTTTGTGCTTTTTTTTTTTTTTTTATTTAAAGTATTGGAGAAGAGAGATTCCGACACCTGAATTTAATTATCGGTTGACATATGCACTTGGTAAATGCATTTATTCGTGCTTTTAAAATTACAAATTTTTAATTACTTGCTTTTTTTTTTTTTTTTTTAAAGTATTGGAGAAGAGAGATTCGAACCTGAATTTATTATCGGGTTGCATATGCACTTGGTATGCATTTATTGTGCTTTTAAATTACAAATTTTGGTACCATTGAATATTTCTTTACACTAGTAATTTCAATTTTTAGAGTTTTTCATTTTTATATGCAATATATTAATTTGACATATGACTAATATAATAATTTTCATATTTTTTAATTATTTAATAAATATTTAATTGATCTGATTTTGTAAATTAAAGCATTCAATAGAATGATTTTATGATTTAAAATGTTTATTAGTACATTTTTATAAGGTTGAAGTATTTAACGAATCAAAATAAAAGTAGAGGGTGCCAATTTTTTTTTTTTGTGTAAAATATGAGTGAATTTTTGCATTTGGCCTAAAAAAATCAACTTTAGAAATTCTAATTTTTTTTTTCAGAATAAATTTAGTCTTAAAAAATGGATCTAAATTACTATTTAATCTTTGTATTCTGACTAAAAAATTGATATATCTAGCTTTTAAATTTGCAAAAAGTGTCATTTTTATTATTAAATGCAATGCGATAACTCGCTATTTAATGCTTCATATTTAATATAATATTTATATTACTCCATTTGCCATAAAAACAAAACTTTTTAAACAAATGAACTAAATGAATAATAAATCTATAAGTTAAAACCATCCAGTTATTTCATTAAAATATAGGGACAAGTAAGAAAAAAAGGTCAAATTTCAAGGACTAAATATTAATTTGCCTTCTTATGAAAAACTTATTTACAAATATTTCATATTGAAACTTAGTAGAAATTCATACATAGACTTGCTTACTTCCACGTAAATCAATGGAACTGGAGAGACTACCAAGCAACTTGATAAACGAAGAGATTCTGGCGAGGTTTGAGTTAGAAACGCTGTGCACGGTGGCCTGTGTGAGCAAAGCCCTCCGCTTCTCCGTCGACACCCAAGTTCTTCCCTTTCTGTCCTCCCTCCATTTCCCAGAATCTCTGATTCCAGATGCCAACGCTCTTTACCATGTCCTGAGTCGCTGCACCAGAAGAGGAAGAAAAACCCATAGCCTTAAAACCCTAAACCTCAATTGCCAACGCCTTCATCATTCGTGCCTTACTCTTTTATTGGGTAAACAAGTGGAGCAGCTCAATTTCTTTTGCTGCTCCTTGCTCTCGTCTCAGTTTCTTGTTTCTATTGGAAAAAATTGCCCCTTTATCAGGTATTTTTTCCTCCTTTTTTTTTTTTTTTTATTACCCACTTACTTGATTCTCTGTGCGGTATTCTTATGTCAATTCAGTTTGGGTCACGGTTGGCTGGCTCTGCAATTGTGAATGGAATGCCATTCTTGGAATAGGATCCATTGTTTCTTTTTAGTTCACTAGGAACCCAAATTTTTATACATTTTTATGTTCGAATAATTCTTAATATAACCAATAAATTTTATTTAGTTGTTAAAAAAAATATAACTTGGAACAGGATTTCTTGGATTTAAACATTCATTTCCTTTCCCATTACATTCCCAAAGCTCATAAAACATACACATAAAGTTTTCTGCAATACTAAATGGAAGTAATCTGCTTGTTTTTAATCGTAGGTGTAATTGGCTAATTTCAATGATAGAGTTTGCAGTTGTTCTGTTTATACCTATTATGTGAAGTTGCTTGGTCCTGCAAGTAATTATGTGTGTGGTTTGCTTGTAATGACAGGGTGCTAACGCTAGAATTGGCAGATGGGGGATTACCACACGTGTTCAACAGGGATCTTGTTGACATGCTTTGTAGGTGTCATTTTCTGGAGGTAGGCTAATGCTTAATGAGCTGTTTGTTTTATTTTTATTTCATTGATTCTTTAGTGCTCTTTTAAGTTGCTCTGTACTGTACACAAGAAAGTGCTGATATCAGCTGCATCATGTTTGTTCTTTAATGGTGTAGTGTCTATTTATTAAAATTCGAGGGGCGGAAGTTGATGCAAAGGCTTTCAACTCCATTGAATGCTTTCTGCCCAAAACCATAAAATTGTTGAAGTTAAAACCGATGCTTGAGGAAAATGCAATCTGTCTTGCAAACAAACTAGGAGTTGGTATAAACTTTTCTGCAATTGAAGATTTTAGCGTCACTGTCTCTCCAACATCATATGGTTGCACATTACAGTATTTGTCGCTTGTTTTAGATGTGATATCTGATAGGCTTCTTTTGACGATCGCCAGTTCTCTTCCTCTTCTGGTAGAGCTGGATCTTGAAGATAGGCCAAACAAGGAACCATCTCCTCACCTTGACCTGACCAACAGTGGGCTGCAGTCCTTGGGCTCTTGCCATCATTTGAGTAGTCTCTCTCTTATACGCAGCAGGCAGAATTACCAGGTATCATTTAAACGAATAAATGATATGGGCATGTTTCTCCTATCTGAGAGTTGCAAAAATTTGCAGTCAGTGAGACTTTGTGGTTTCTCTAAAGTTAGTGATGCCGGCTTCGCTTCTTTGCTACAGTCCTGCCAGAAGTTAAAGAAATTTGAAGTTCGTAATGCCTTGTTTTTGTCAGACTTGGCCTTTCACAATCTAATTGGGACCCAATGTGCCCTTGTTGAGGTAAGATTATTGTCATGCAACCTCATAACCAGTGAATCAGTGAAGAAATTGAGTTCTTCTAATAGCCTGGAGGTGCTAGACTTGTGTGGCTGCAAGAGCATAGCAGATTCTTGCTTCAGCTCCATTTCAAGTCTTCAAAGATTAACATCTTTGAATCTTACTGGAGCTGATATCACGGATAGTGGTTTATCAGTTCTTGGTCAGAGGAGTCCACCGATCTCGTATCTGAGCCTTAGACGCTGTAAGAGGATAACTGACAAAGGAATTTCGCTTTTGTTGTGTGGGGAAATCGTGCGAACATTGGCAGCACTAGATTTAGGTTACCTGCCGGGAATATCAGACAATGGAATTTTTACGTTTGTTGCTGCTGGAAAAGAGATTACTGAATTGTCGATTAGGTGTTGCTTTTACGTGACTGATTCTTCATTGCAAGCATTGGCTACAAAGAGAAGGTTCCAAGATGGGAGTAAGCAACTTAAGCAACTTGATCTTTTCAACTGCACTGGACTATCTGCTGAGGCATTATGGTTGCTAAAGAGCCCTTCATTCAGTGGACTGCATTGGGTTGGTATTGGAGAAACACGTTTGGCAAGTAAAGGAGGTGCAGTTATAACAGAAATTAGGAAGGAACGACCATGGTTGACTCTGTGTATTGATGGCTGTGAAATGGGCTGTCGCGATGGATGGCATTTACATACATTAGAAAGCTTTTGATATCCTTCTCTGCGAGTTAATATTGCCGCCACCAATATCTCGCACCGGTTTTATGGAGAGATTGATGCAAGTAAATGAGCCTTGGGCGGCTAGTTCTCTTTCTATAGCTTTAGCTTAGCTAAGTTTGATCTTTCTCCTTCATTGGACCTGTTGGTAGTGCATCAATCCTCTTGTACACTATGATCTTACTTGATTTGAACGACGCCAGGACAATAGGCTTTTGTGGTTTTTGTGTTGTAATCCATGTTTGCTTGAATTTTTTACATCTGCTTGGAAAACAGGAAGTGATCCTCTCACGAGCAAAGCTTATTTGCTACTGTTGCCTACCGGAGATTGGAAACGTGCCAAAGAATTCCATTTTTATGACATCGCCCTAAATTCAAGCAAACATCAAAACATTTGCCAAATTGACTGCAAAAAATGTGACATTCTATGTACATTGCTTTCAAACTACAAGAGTGGCAAAATCTTATGGAAAGGTCAGGGAAGAGGTATAGACAATGGAGGAACAAAAACGAGGTAGGAGATAGGCTCGAGACAACACTGATGGTGGTCCAGGTCCGGCCAATGAGGCTTGTTCCAGGTCTGACAAATGCATTGATGCTGAATTCTGGTGGGTTGAGAAGTATGAAATCATGCAGGAAGAGGAGGCTAATGCCTGTCAAAGGTTGCCGCTAGGTAAGAGCGTCCTGTGCACATTTGCGCCTGAGGCATGTCTTTAACACCATACCTGAAACACCACAATCTACAAGCCTGACCGCCTGTTTCCTACCCTAAGAAATAAACCCAATGGCAGATGTGCAACGCAAAATAAAGCAGATATGAAAATGTGGGCTATTTCTATTTCTTTCAAATTGTTCAGTTATATTTCTTGAGCTTCTATGTGCTATGCACATTCAAAAGAAATAAAACAAAACCCAAAAAAAAAAAAAAAAAAAAAAAAAAAAAACCACCACAATCTACAAGCCTGACCGCCAGTTTTCCTTACCCGTAAGCAATAAACCCAATGCAGATGTGTCTGTGCAACGCAAATAAAGCAGATATGAAATGTGGCGCCTATTTCTATTTTCTTTCAAATTGGTTCAGTTACTATTTCTTGCAGCTTCTATGTTGCTATCCACATTCAAAAGAAATTAAAACAAAACCCAAAAAAAAAAAAAAAAAAGAAAAAAAAAAAAAAGAACAGAAGAAGCAAATCCAGTCCTCGAAAGCGTAATGCAAATCACAGCAGCATATAAAACTTGTCATAAAAAAAAAAAAAAAAAAAAAAAAAAAAGAAAGAAAGAAGAAGCAATCAGTCCTCGAAAGGTAATGAAATCAGCAGCATTAACTGTCATATAAGAGCTGGCAATTTTTCAGATAAAAGCAGTTCGTCCACCCCTTCGACTGTGCCTGTCATAGGCAGTGTTGAATTTGTCAACTAGCTCGTTCATTGTGCTGGATTAAAAACAGAAAAAGAGAGACCATAGTTAGCTTATATCATGGATAAAAAACCAACAGTGACGATGAGAGAAATAATTATATAAAGTCCATGAAACTGCAAAGTGATGTTTTCCCCGCATATTACAACTACTTGCATCAACGTTGACGCATTTATAAAAGTGTCTTACAGAGGCAATAACATTAACCCAAAGAAATGCCTCAATATGCAAGCAAACCTTTGACATTTTTGGACATGGGTAAATCAACTAAGTAGAAGAACTTGGTTTGTCTTTAACCATAAAATTTCACTTCACTAGAAAGCAATCATATTATAATATTTCCATCATATTAGATTATCTTGATACTTGCAATCCCTTTCTTCAACAATTTCTATTAATAAATATATCAGATTAGGCATTCCAAATATCAGAAGTCCTTCCCTGTATGCGAAGTTTTATTTATAGTGATTACTCAAATTATTGCTACTTCTTAGTTACATGTTCTGCTTTTTTTTAATCACATCAATTTGTTTGTTTATTCATTTCCAATAGCAATCATACCACATCTATTTAATAAGAAAAACTACAGAATGCAAAACATAAAAATTCCGCACAGTGGTGCCCATAAATCATACCTTGAGCAGTTTGTGAACATGGCAAGGTAAGTGATCAATAATGTATCATTGTATTCCTGTACCAAAAAAAAAAAAAAAAAAAAAAAAAAAAAAAAAAAAATGTCCAAAAAAAAAAAAAAAAAAAAAAAAAAAATGTCCATTCATAGTACAAATGACATCTTAACATTAAAGATATGTAGATATAAAAAGAAAACATTAACGTTTACCCCAGATATTGTCAGACATCACTTTGTGTGGACAATAACATATATCATGCATACTCTGAAACTATAACCAATTTCACACACAGCAAAGAAAAAGTTTTTCAGTGTCCATCAAGACTCACCACCATAATTGATCGACACTAATTATCGATAATAAATACTGCTGAAACCAGTTACAATGTCCTCCTGTTTTAACTGTAATCAAGTAGTGGATAGACCTAAAGAATTGGCTAGTGTTTGGTCATCAAATAGAAAGTATATGTTGGTTGACAGTTTAAACCATGAAAAATGAAATGAGAGAGATGGCATAGGAATGAGTTGTCTGCTTATTTTACACATTCCATACCTATTTATCATCTCTCTCTCTCTCTCACTCTCATTAACAGACTAATTATCTTCTAGATGGACAACAATTCTCATTTCCTTCACATATATAGACTGATATTCCTTAAGAGAAGATTTTTCTACCAGCAGAATCTACATATTTGTCATGAGACATAGAACCACAACCCTGATAAATTGGCTCTGTAGGTTAGAAGGTACCTATACTGGACAGAAAAATGCAAATGCCCACTTAACCATATGGTTAAAATTTGCGATCTATAACACAGTAACATCACGTGGTAACATATGTCCCAAATATGCAATCAATAACACTCACCATCAAGAAATCATCTTGAAATTTTTCTGATTCAATGGCTGGCAGTCTTCTTAAAAGGCTTGATACTTGTCTCAATAAGGAGTTCTCACAAGGAATTTCACCTGCATTTATGAATAACAGAATTATAGAAATGCAATTAATATCAACTATAAGACTTTGACTGCCTACTTTTCGACAGCAAATGCATCTTCCTCCAAGATAATAACAATCCTTTTTCCTTTGCTTCTCTTGATTATCATGGCCCTTCAATTCTACCCCCTCCATTTTTCGGAAGATCAAAATAGGACACCCATGGAAAAGGTCTCAGTTTGATTTTGTCCATAGGACCTGTTCATGGCTGGGCTTGAGCTTCAGAAATGCTAATTTTTGAAAGACTTGGGAAGCCTGGGCATCAATTTTCTTCATAAATTAAAGCCCATGGCACAGCTCGTGAACAGGTCATAGGCTAATGGCAGCTGATGGTCCAAAACCATTATCAGGGTTAATGAGAAAGACAGTGACAACAAGAAGATGCAAAGTATATATAACATAAAAAATTTTAATATATCTAAAGTAGACACCTCCATATTATTAAAGTCTTCTCCTAAATTGTGCCTTTCAAGGAAGATAATTACAGCCTTTAGGATTTCACTGAATTCAACGATCAGATATATCAATATCTTTACCATTTCAATTCAGTAGTTCTCTTAGGGGCAACAAAAGCACCAGCTATTGCATTCATCAAAAGAAAAGCATTTACCTTTCTGCATTGCAGCAAGATAGTGATGAAGCACCCTAATTCTGCTATTCAACATCTTGATAGCACTATGTATGCCAGTAAGGTGGGCAGCCACTACACAGAAGAACCAAACTAAATTAATATGAATCAGAAAAGAAAAATGAGGAATGCTAGTCATAGTGAATGTCTAATGCTCTCTTGTTTATTGGTCGAAATATATTTATTATTTCTGAAGGTAACTTCTTACCTATTATAATAGGTGACCCAGAAAAAATTAATCACTTTTTTCTATTTCTTAATTTACTCTTGTTTGTCACCTCTTAGGCATACATTCCATCTCCTCCTGCCAATTTTCTTTTTTTTTTTTCCCTTCATTTTCTTATTTTCCTCAAAATATTCTATTCTAAAATGTAAAACGCATTTAATTTACCCGCAATACAAGCGACAGAACACAAAAATATTCACTGCAAATCCAACAAATTAATTCATATCCATCTGCTTTTTTTTTTTTTTTTTTGGCAAATCCCAACAATTAATTCAAATATCCATCGCTGCCTTTTTTTTTTTTTCGTCCTTTTTCATATCAAAATTCATAAAAAAAAAAGATTCCATGTAGCATCTGTATGGATAATTTTGCTTTTTTTTTTTTTTTTCTCTTTTTCATATCAAAATTCATAAAAAAAAGATTCCCATGTAGCATCTGTATGGATAATTTATAGATAAAGCAAATAAGAGTAGAGATACTTTATTATAATTATGATGGCCATGAGTCCAGCAAAGCAACAAACTCTTCTCAAAATATGGAGATATCAATTGCAGGCAAGTACTTCAATTTCTTATTTATACATATGGTTATATATTTTTGTCATCATCAATTTCACACTGGTGAAGGAGATAAATGAGAGTAAAAGGGAGAAAAAAGGACTTTTCTTTTTGCAGGTTATCTAAGATAGGTAACTAATAAATTAGCTTCAAAAATAATAACAATAGAAAGGGAGTGTTAGAAGGTCACTCTTTGGAGTGACTGTGGCTAGCATTCCTCAAGAAAAATATTTTCATACAGGCCTAGCTTGGTAGTTACACCTAAAAGAAATCTTAGGTTGGGAGAGAGATACTTCTGCAATTCTATCTCTTCATTCTTCTTATTAAGAAACAGTACAACAATTATTATTAAATAATAGATAGATTACATAGATATAAAAAAATAGGAGAGGACTAACATTGAGTTGCTGCAGAGCCTCCATCAGATGGCTTAAGGTGTGCCACATGATCAACTGAGATACGTTCAGCTTCCACTGTCTTCAAATCCAAAAAAAGCGGTCAATAAATTTAGTCGGTAGAAGAAACTATAACAAGGCAAATAAGAATGATGATGACTGACCTCAATTGTGTAACTTGATCGAACAAAGATGAGCTGTGGAATGCCATCAATAACGTGCAGTTCTGCAGTTGTAACAATCAAGATCCCAAAAGCATGAAGGTTATACGAAATTATAATGCACCAGTAAAAGGATCATAAGAACTAACAATAGAATTAAAGGTATACCAAACAAACGGATCAAGCAACGCTTCCTATGAAATATAATGAAGAATGATAGCGCCATTCAAACAGTACTACATGGTAAAGTTTATATACACATATTACATACTATAGTATATCGTGTAGTATAAAATGCCTCCCAACAGCTCAGGATTTTCAAGCCTAATTTGGTCTCTGATTACAGTGAGAAGGTGAGTAAAAAGAAAGAATCTGGTAACTGTGGGGGGGGCTGTGAACAATGGCTGAATTTCTTTAGCCAGCAGCCTTTGAAAGAAAGGAAAAACAGCTAAAGAAAATAAGAAATTCAGCTATTGTTCACCACCCCACACAACGACCAAATTCTTTCTTTTTCTCGCTTTCTCACTGTAATCAGAGACCAAATTCCCCTAAAACTGATCAATTAATTGAGATTTTCCAGCCATAGAGGCACTACTAGGCTGGCTGTCAATCTGTCATACATCTAAAAGTTGACTTAGGCCCTCACCTAATAATTTAAACTTTAACGTTGAGTGGATTTCTAGTAATTCAAACTTTAGGTTCTTTTAGACCTTCCCTGCCCAAACCTGCACATTCAAACTTTAGGCCTCATATTCTTGTAATATATTTAGCACAAAGCAGTAATTATGTGTCTCGTTTGTGCTTTCAGACTGATGGCTTCCATGTAAGCAGGCGACATCAAAATTTAAAACCTAACCTAAAAGTTCGAATTTTAGATTAAGTTTTTTGTTCCAAATAGTATTGAAGACAGATAGTACTAGCACAAAGCAAACAATATATGAGGCGCTACAAAAGTTAGAGGAGGAAGGGGATGGACCAGTTGGATCAAATCTCCTACTTTAGCTTGAGATAACAAGACTAAACTGGCTATGGTAGTGACAAGACATGATTTGTGCCATTGAAACATTCAGTACAATTAACATTGATTGCAGTTGGGGAACGCCACTCTCAATAGCAAAAACATATTAACCAGTATGTCGATGGCTTAACAGCTTCATTGCTGTCAAACATTAATTTAAAGAAGCGTCATTAAAAAGATCACATACCACTTTCATAAATAGTCACAGGCAGATCCTTCTGAGCTGGATTGATTGAAGGATTCAATAGAACATAAACGGGACTTTCATTAATATCCATCAACTGTTACAGAAAAAAATAGTCACAATTTATTGGCAAATAAAATTCATCTGTAACAACATAATCAACAGAAAACGAATGCATTAAGATGGAAAAATTATGTCAGAGCGAAGTGCAAAAAGAACATCAGTGGGACATAAAAAAGAAAAACTTATTATGCTCATATATATTCCTAAACAGTAAGATAAATTACCATAGTCAAAACTCAGTTAATGCCCATTTCCAACAATACACCATCTATAAGCTTAGGAAGATTCTTAAATTTCAGGTTAGAAGCATTCACAAGCGAGAGGCAATGGTAGCAGCAGTAATCAAGCCCTTGATAAAAAAAAAAAATTGTCATGAGGTTACCAGACTAAGTAAGGTACAGTCAGAAATCAAAAACTCATACACAATTATGATAGAAGTCATTGAGCCTTGAGCAAATACTACAAACAAATGTTAATCAAAATAAAGTTATGATACTTGTGATTCTCAGAAGAAATTTTGAGCAAAAGTTAATGAATTGGCAGGTATTTTCATTACAACACACATGATTCAAACTTTTAAAAGACATTTGTTCCATGTTTAAATCATCCTGAGTGGCTGACCCTTGAGACCGTTTCCTTAGGCATTTGCTTATGTATCCAATTCATTATTAAATTTTTAATGTCCCATCTCTGTTATCAGTTCAGTTTTCTCACAAGGAGAATACTTATGATTTATGCAAAACAATGTGGTATCGGTTATTTTTTATTCTCTGCTATCACTATTATGAGATGGTTATTTTTGATTCTCGGCTATCAGTATTATGAGATAACAAAATTAACAATCCTTAATTGTTCAAAGACACTGTGAATCCAAGGCATCAAGAAAGAAGCATTATGACATCTGCATATGCTATTGAATGAGCTTCTTTAATTCAAAAAATTGCAAATTCATTCAGCAATGGCAAGATTTCCTTGTTTGTCCCAATCCCAAATAACATGAATTGCTACTAATCCCACAAGGAAGTACATTCTAAACATCCCAACCAACCAAAATAAATATGTTAATTTTGTATCTTCCCATTGGTTTGCATACTTCGATAAAATTACATGGCATGATGAACTAGTATGTTGCTTTATCAACATATGTCACAAAACCTCTTTGAAAGGTCAGTGGAAACATAAGGCACTAATACCACAGTTCTTGTAAATTGACAAAAATCGTCATCACAATATAAAAACCAGTAAGAATAAAGAAGGAAACATACAGCCTTGTGAATATGCATATCAGATTCCTCAGCATCACTTCCAGTCGAATACCATCCCAATATATAAAAGTGAGGAAAAACCTTTTTATCTGTAATCCAATCAGAATAATTCAATTCATTAAAATTTGAACCCTAAAAATTATTGAACAGACAAATTTTTCAAAAAAACAAGGTGTTGAGGAGAATTACAAAGCTCTTGCTTCTTCTCAAGAAAAGGGCGGTCGAGGGAATGACTGATGGGATCATAAAGAAGCTCAAAACTATTAAAGATCTCGACAGTGCGCCCTCTCTGCACTCCTATAACACATCCGTAGACTCTCGGTGGCGGTGCTTGAGCTGGAGCGACTCCGCTACCGTTGCTGTTGTTATTTGAAGTAACGGGAGGGTTCATCTGAGACTTGACCCGAGTGTAGTGATCCGATATGTTAACTATAACGAGCGGGTGCAGCTTGAACGTTAAACCACTGCTCGACGATGACGCCATTGTTGTCGTTTTGGTTCCCTTCGATCCCAACTGCCTAATCAAAGCAGAGTCTGAGGAAATTAAACGCTAGATCGAGGGATGTTGGGGTTTTAGGCTTAGTTAAAAAAAGGAATTTACTTTTAAGAACTCTTTTGCAGTTTCGCTATATACTAATATACACTCCAGTCAGACACTCAAGACGATTTCCATTATTTTCCATATTTTTGTTCTGTGTTGGGCTTGAGAAATACTAGCGTTGCTGGCCTTAGTACAGTGTTACTAAACCCGGTCGGGAGGTTGAGCCGGCCAAAGAATCGGATGGATAGTTCACTTGTTGAACTGACATGTCAATAATTTAATTAGTAGATCGCAAAAATTATTAATAATATATATTAATTAAATAATTATAATTATCAATGGACCGTAACGCTTGGTGAAATCGGTTTAAATCAATATGTTCAACCATTATTTATCCGTTCATTCCAATTTGCTTTCTTAAATTCAAAAATAAAATCGACTCAATTTAAAGTTAGTTTATTGGTTTTTCGGATCAACCTATCGGTTTGATACAGTTTTAATAACTATGCTTAAAAATATTAATATGAAAATAATAAAATAATATTTGTTGATTATTCTAAGCCTGAATTTTTCTCTTTAAATTTATATTCTATGATAACACTACATTTTGTCATCGGAATTTAACTTTCATATTTTTTTAAAGAAAATTATTATTAATAGTATCGGGGGAAATTTTAGTATTACAAATTAAATGGCCTCAATCAATAGGGCGACCTGCCAAGAACACGCACAGGGCTGGCAGGCATTTTGTAACGTTGCCATATTTAATCAATTTCACTTGGCTAGTTTTGGCATTTCCCTGGAAGAAGCAGAAGGAAGCTTTGTGCAAACTGTATGTATCTAAAAGGTTTGAACTTTGAAAGCTACAATGACCCCTCATCGTGGAGGATTTGGCCTTAAGAATCATGGACTCAAGACAGACATCTTACACCGAGATGCATTTTTATTGACTGCCATAGCTTCAACTGAGACATCTAACTGCCACGTAACAACAAATATAACTTTCAATGTTTTTTTTTTTTTTTTTTTTTTTTTTTACAAACCGAGATGCATTTTTATTGACTGGCCATAGCTTTCAATGAAGACATCTAACTGCACGTAAACAACAAAATATAACTTTAATGTTTTTTTTTTTTTTTTTTTTTTTTTTTTTTTTATTTTATTTTTTATAATAGCTTTCAATGTTAATAAGACGCGTGTTCAAGTTTTGCTGAAAAATAACACAATATCTAAATTAAAATAAATTGAAATTAAAGAATATATAAACAAATTATTTCAATATATATATATATATATATTAGACATGCATTCTTAAAGACTGCTTAACATATATAAGTCAAGATAAAAAAAAAAAGAGGTTATAATTCATTAATTAAATTTCTTTTGTATTTGGATTACAAAGAGAAAAAAAGAAGGAAGAAAATTAAATAAATATAAAAAATAATAAGGAAATAATTTTTTTTAGAAAAAAAATATTTTACTTATCTTTTTTAGATATAAAAAAATAAAATTAATTTTTCTCTATAAATTTATTTTTATAATTTTTTATTTTCTTTTTAATTTGAAAAAAATTTATCAGAATTCCTTTTTTTTTATATTTCTTTCCTCTTTTCAAATAAAATAGTATTTATTTATTAATATACTCCTCCAATATTTTTGGCTTAAAATAATTTGGTTTAAAAAAACAAAAGAAAATAGATAATCGTTAATTAAATTAAATCGATGGTACAATAAATACTCGCCTTAAAATGCGTGCACCGGCAGCAATTACACATCATCCAACGCTCTATACGATTACACATAACAAACAAAACGACAAAATGATCTAACCTTTTTTTTCCATATTATTATTTTTTGTCATTATTAATAAACTTATTGCATAAAAATGGAAATATATGGAGGTTGTTCTTTATCATAATTTCATCTCTGGAAAAAAACACAGGAAATTGGAATTGGAGGTCCTGCTTCTGCTCTATCACCATCATCATCTGATTGGACCCAATTCTTCTTCAATTTCAGTTTCTATTGACTCAACAATCAGAGCCCAATCTTCGACTTCACTTTTGACCGTCTTCACAGAGCAGAAAATTAGACATGGCGATGCGGGACTTAGTTACCGGAGGAGCAGCCTGTGCAGTTCCAGGCTCTTCTTCGTCTTCTAATCCTCTTGGTGCTCTCGCTAATACCCTATTAGGCTCCTCTTCTAAGACTCAGGTGTAGTATAACTTTCTTTCGCATTTCTCTTTCTCTATCTTTTCAGTTTTCACATTTCCCCCCTACGAATTATGAAAATTGAAACAAAATCAATTTTGTGTTTTCAACAGGAGAGGCTGAAGGAAATCCCTACATCGACGGCTACAAGTTCCGAGAATCGTTTTTACCAGGATGTTCAGGATCCTCTGAGAGCACTTCCTGGGGCTGAGTTTGAGCAGCAGCCATTTTCTCATACTCAGGTCTGATAAGGAAATGGAAATTTTAGTTAAAGGTTTTGTTTAATTATCGTGTTATTGTTACTATTTTAGTGTTATAACTGTTTATTTAATTTTTTTTTTTTTTTGGTATTTTTTCAGAGTTCGGAATTTCTTCGTGGCTTTCGCTCTGCTGACCAAAATGGATTTGCAGATGCCTGGGATGAGGTACAGAGGTCTCATGGTCCTCTTCCACATCAGGCTAACATTTTTTTTTTTTTTTTGGTATTTTTTCAGAGTTCGGAATTTCTTCGTGGCTTTCGCTCTGCTGACCAAAATGGATTTGCAGATGCCTGGGATGAGGTACAGAGGTCTCATGGTCCTCTTCCACATCAGGCTAACATTCCTCAATTGGATCATGTGTATGATCGTGGACCTCAGCTTCAACCGACTTTGGATGGTAATGTTAATGCTAAACCTTTGCGGTTTCTGAGCTTGTTACCTTTGCTGCTAATTTTGTTTGTTGTTGTTGGAATTCGTAAAAAACTCTGCATATAGCATATTTTCCTTGATGGATTATCTGAATAAGGTGTAAAAAGGCTGACATTTTAATGATGAAGGATAATTTTAAAACAATAGAGTCAGTTACTTTGACTTTGGATTAGGAGAGTAATAGATGGTGAAGTAAGACAAGGCGGTTAATAGGACAGAGCATCAGGAATTTCTCTGATAGAGCATCAGAAATTTCTCTAACTGGAAAACATATTCAAACAAGAGATTCCTCAGAGTTGATGGGCTTGCTGTGAAGGCGCATAGCTGAATGTCAAAGGATGGAATTATGGTTTGCTGATAGCCATGTACAGTGCAAGTTTGAGAAAGAGAAAATGCGTGATTGATTGACAAAGATACTAACCTTTACCTGTGTATAACATCCAATGAGTTTCTCTGAGTCGCATAGAAAACAAGGCATAGCGACTCCTATTATATAAAAATAATTTCTCCCTTGGTACCATGCCCCAACGATCATGCTTGCGCCGTTTTGTAAGAAACTAGGCCAAGATGTACAAATGGTTTGAGATGCAATACATACTATGAGTAGCACTTACACTATAGCGCCATAGGAACTGTACCTAAATCTTGCATAGCGCTGTACTTATATTGTATTACTTACCAGTTATCCACTTGAGCTGTGTCAGTATTTTAATGTCTAGAGAATTAAGGGAATACTGCAGCACACAGGAATGAGGAAACTGTTTTCATGTGCTCCTTGTTTTTCGGATTGCAGGACCACCCCAGAGAGTGTTGTCAAGCTTCTTGCACTCATTTGTTGAAAGCAGCCGTGGTGGAATTCCTTTTCATCCTACTCCATTGCCATTGTTAGGATTATCTGAAGGTGACAAACAATGCATACGTGATCGTAGCAGCATAATGGCCCGTCATTTTTTTGCTGATAAGAGTGAAGATTTTATTAATGCACAGGTCGTTTGCCCTATCTTTGGTTAAGAAAGCTATTGTCTCCTAATTTTAGTTGTATCTTTGTTTTAATCTTATTCTAGGAGCAAAACTATGAGGTTAACTTTACTAATTTATATTTCCAGGTGAATGCGCTATTGTCTTCATTAGAAATTGATGGTGATGCAAGGGCAAAGGGACCTTTACATGGGAGATTTCGTGAGATGGAAGATCATTGGAATGAATCACAAGGTAGTTTTAGACCAGGTCCTCATGCTGCTGATGGATGGATTGCAGAATTTAACCAGCACAGATTGGACCATGGTGATCCTGATGCCTGGGCTCATGCATTTGAACAGCAACATGGGCCTAATGGTTGGGTCTCTGAATTTGACCAGGTACTTGTATTTAAATCTATTTTATTGATAGATCATGCTTGTTGATTTGATAACGCATGGTTGATATTGGAACTTTCTCTTAGGTTTATGAAGATATGCTTCCTGAAAATTGGCTGCATGAATAGTTGGACATTTCATTGACATTATGTTCTATTTTGTCTTATTTGGTTGTAGCAACAAAGGATGGGATCTTTAGATCAAATGAGAGGTCCAAATATCTCGAACTTAGCTGCGATGGAGCAGACTCGTATGCTTGCACACACGCTAGCTCAAAACAATGATCCTAAATTTCAGGTTTGTATGCTTTATCATCACTTAAATTTTCCATATGGTGTGCATGTTCATTCCTGGTTCTGGAATTTTTTGTTTTTGTGTTGTGGAGAGTCTGTTTCTACATGTTATTGAACTAAATGTTATACTCTGGTTCATTTTTGGTGGAATCAATTTAAGCAGAGCACTCTTCCTGCTTCAATCAGCCTGATAGCACCTAAATTGGAATTGTGAAAGTATTTGGAAGCTTTAGGATTTTGGTAGGAAAATGCTTTTGAAACTATTGTTTGACGGTGCAAGTGATGAGCTTTTTCGCTACTCATTAATTGTGTGCCACTTGCAAGAGTCCATAATTTTATTGGTGACAAACACTGAAAACTACCTTCTACCATTGTGTAAAAGTAGCTAAATGATGTTTGGCTGTCATTAAGTGGTGAAGTACATTTTTTTTCACAGGGTTATAGGCCAAGTGCATTCACATGCCATGAATCATGACTCTCAGATTTTCACATACTGGTAACAGAATAGTATCTTATGGAAACTGATAGATGGTATTTATTTTCTTTGAGCAATTGCTTGACTATTATCCTGTAGAAGATGATACTGGGTGATGGGTACAACCTGCAAGTGGACTTTGGATTAGTAGTGTTTTTGTCTTGAGAAGGCGAGTAGCTTTTGTTAATAATGATCAAAAGACTCCAAACCAAGTATAACAAGTGATTGATACTAATGCATGTATGAGAAGGAAAGCCCTGAACATATTTAGAATCACATGCATTATAGAAAATATACATCACTGATTATTTGTCATTTACATTATGTGTCTCCTTTTCTTTCTTTTTATTGCTGTTTATGCTTGAATGTTCATCAAATTCCATGGGAATGCAGAATTCCAAGTTTCTTCAATTTGTGTCAAAGATGAGCCGTGGTGAACTTATTATTGATGATAATCAAGTCAAGCCAGCCTCATCATCTGCACCTGGTGATTGGGCATCAGAATATCAACAACAGTATAATACAGGGGGTACTTCTTGGGCAGATGAATATGTGCGTGATGAGGCAAGTAAATTTTACTGAAAGCATGGAAAGAAGAAAAAAAAAGTTTACGTTATGCTTTTGATCACCAACTGTGTGTACATACACATTTGCACACTTGAAACCTACTAGGATGATGTATATATAGTAATCCAATATAGCTTATCATCTGTCTCGTTTGTTTTGCAAGATTTTGCCTATTAAACCACTTTGAGGTTCGTAAAAGATAAGAATTTTATTGCATAATAAAAGCTTAACCTCCCCACTTCCCGTTGCCTTTATTCTTCTCTCCTTTTCTCAATTGTGGTGGTGTTCTATTCAGTCTTGATTGTGCTTCATGTAGAGTGAACTAGGCTTCATCAAGGTAGGTCTACAGGTGTGGCCTTTTCTCCAAGTATGGAAACTTTTGCTCTCTTTGGGAGAGAAAAGTTGGAAAAAAAAAAGGAATATTGGAGGGTCAAAAGTGAGAGAGAAAGGTTATTTTACCTTGGGTTGAGGGTTGGGAGAAAGTAACTCAAATTTTCTGTGGTCTCTTCAATAGGAGAGAGCTTAAGTGGATAGGGGTGGATGACTTACAAAATTACTGATTTACCCTATATCAAAAATTTGTTCTCCAGAAAGCAAAGGTCAAAGTCACAGTTTTGCAAACTGTCCTCTACTTTTGTTTCCTTCTCATTTCTTCCTTTCCGAACGAAAAGGGGAAAGCAAATTTCTTATTTTTATTTTCTCTCCTTCTAATCTCCCATGTTGCATTCCCTCAGTTTCTCCTCTTTCAAAATAGTGCTAACCTATTGATAGGCTTTTACTTTATCTAGTGCCTGGGTTATGGCCCTCATCATTGTTTTGCTAGAAGAGACAATGGCAGAAATAAGATTGATGTAGAGTAAGAACACAAAATGTTCTGAAGTTCTATTTACTTATCAATAAATTTAATGAAGTACTAGTGATATTTATAAATACTGGGGATACTCTTATTTTCTTCTGGCGTTTGCATTCCAATCTCAATTTCTTTAATGGCCATGCTTCAAACCTATGCAATTACACATGCAAAAAGAAGTGAAACCTAGTAGTACAGAGGATAAGGGAGTTGCTTGTCTTGATCACAAACATATTCATGAAATTCTGTATTTTACAGATTTCTGAAACATCAGGTTGTGCGTGCCCTTTATCTATAATTCTTGAGGTCCTTGGGTTTTGTTAGGCAAACTCAAGACCCCTACATAATATCATTTCATAGCCTGAACTGCAATGCATATTACTGCACTGTTAATTTATGTACCTAAAAATTGAAGTATGATGTGAATTAAAGAATATTTCTCCTGAAGTAATCAATTAATTTTATTATTTTAATATCAGAAGAATTAATTGGGAGTACTCGTTTACTGATGCTGGCAACTTAGGAAATGGAACTCTCATATAGTGCAATTGGTATGCCCTTGTAAAGATTGGAATTTGGGAGTCTTCTGTTTTTTTTTTGTGTTTTCTTTTGTTTGTTTGATTTGTTACAATATTTATTACTGTCTAATAACTGTAAAGGGCAGCTAAAGCTCTGTCCAAAATCCAAATGTTCCATGATCTGTTTGTGTGTGATATGATTAAAGGGCCTATTCTTTTTTCTTTTTTCTTCTTTTTTATTTTTTTAAGTCTATTTATTAGTTCTCCTTTATTTACAATTTCCAGATCTAATTCTAGTTCCTTTAGGTTTCTTATGGACCTGATCGATGGGTGAATGAGTTTACTACTGAAAGAGAGCAGAATGGATCTGTCGATGATCAGTGGGTAAATGAATTTTCAAAGTTGCATGTTAATGACTGGGTGGAAGAATTTGGGCAGCAGGTTGAGGAAGGAGCATTGGGGGAGACTTCAGCTGATAGTTGGGCAAACGCATATGATGAGTGAGTAGAACAGACATAAATGAGAAATTATTTTTTGTGCTTGGGTCAACAACATTAACATCATACTGCTTTATTTTCAGTTCAATCAAGTAAGCTATTTATTGTTTGTTGAGGTGGGCTCAGTCCTCTCATCTATCATTTGCTGAATTATTGTTCATTTAAAGTTTATTACTTACAAGACCTTCTAAAGCATTTATAAAATGAACTGTGTAGTTAATTATAAATCTAATTTTATAAGCTTGAGAGAACTTAATGTTAAGGGAAATGATTTGTATTTTATGTTCTCTCAATTTCAAAACACAGCTTTTTGATTTTTGGCTGGAAATATTTTTATCTATTTTTCCATATGAATTTTTTGGTTTGGCTTGCTATAGTAACAAAATCAGGTATGGTTTACTTATGATTCGGTTGTTGATAGAATTGCAAAAATAGAAAAGTTGCCTCATGAAATTGAGGAAAGTAAATGTTTGTGATAGAATCACAAAAGATACCAAGGTTCAAGCATCATTTACCATTAGGCCAATGGTTTCTGTGACAAAGTAAGGCCAGTTTAGCTGTTGACATTATTCTATTTTGTCATTGAATATCCTGTTTTTTCCCACTCTTTTATGTCATATTTAGCATGTGCATCAACCTCTGCTTAAAAGCAAATCAACTAGTGTCAATCCGAAAAGATTCAGCAATTCTTTTTTTTCCCTTTTAAGAATCTTTGTTGCTTATCATGTTCTATTTCCATATAGTTCTCACTTATCAGGTTAGGTCCCACCTTCATTCCCCTGATTTAAACTCTCCAGATTACTGTTATCATTTCTTGTTAATTCTTTGTTTAAGTCATTACTTGCATCATTTGCTAATTTATGTACCGTTATTTTCTTTTTTCTTTTACCATCTTACTCTAAAATGTCAATGTATGATGTCTGTACACAATGAATGTTGCAAAACATTGAATCCACACTCTCCTGTGGCTGATTATATCTCTTTTGTTTTTTTTCCTAGTTAGTTATTTTTAAAAAATATATCTATGACCAAATACTTTCTTTAGAAAATATTTGGTCACTTGGTCATGACAAAATCTGATAGGATCCCGTCGATAGCTAGCTTTGCTTAATTTTCTAAAAGTGTCATAGATAATTTTATCTATCTTTTGATGTAGGGTCAATGCTAGAGCAAACTTCTCTTCCTTTCTATTTGTGGAAATCGATGTTTTATAATTATGTACAGGTACCTAAATGAACAAGTAGCTGCCAAGCAAAACTCAGATGCTTCAAGGGGAGTCTATGTGTTTTCTGATATGAATCCTTATGTTGGTCACCCCAATCCTTTAAAAGAAGGTCAGGACTTGTTCCGCAAAGGACTTTTGAGTGAAGCAGTGCTCGCTTTAGAGGCTGAAGTTTTGAAAAATCCCGATAATGCTGAAGGGTGGAGGCTACTTGGAATAGCACATGCAGAGAATGATGATGATCAACAGGTTATTCAATTCACTTGTGATCGAAGCTCTAGACTAGGATGGTTTCTATATTCTCTCTATAATCCAATATATGGCTGCTTTCCTTAATCTACAAGAACTTTTATGAAAAACGGTCACAACAGGCTTGCTTCTGGCATCTACTTTTTTTAACATTTTCTTTCCTCTTCAAAGTTTTTAGATATGCCATCTTTTAGGCCTTTCAAGTCCTTCATTAAGATTCTACCAGTTATATTAATCGTTTTATGAACTAGAGAGAGGAACAGATCCAGGAATATCTCCCACAGCAATATTAGAGAGTTAGTTCCATACCTTATCCATTAACCATTGATTCTTTACCTTCCAATCCTTTCTTGATAAAGAGAATCTTTTGCTACAGAGCATTTCCAAAATCCAATCATGTTGCATTAATGTGAAGTGTTATAACAAGAAGCAAAGTTTGCTAGAAAACATACTACATTTGTTTCATTTCTTTCCTGGAATCACATTTTTTTGTCTTGGAAATATTTCTAAGACCATGTGGACTAGCAGCTGCTTGGTGAAGATTTAAACTTATTACTCTCTGTTTCTTTTGCTTGTTGATGATTTAAACTTTTACTTTCTGTTTCTTTCCTTTTGAACTTGCACAAATACTTCTCAGTCAACTATGAACTTTGAAACCCCATATCTAGTTATTTGTGTATTTGTGTGTGAAATTTTGTATGGAGCCATTGGCTCTATGACATGCTTAATTTTTCTGGCTGTTTTAGTTTTGAAGTCATGATTATTTCTCTCTGAATGTAGTTTGCGAAGCTCATAAAATTGGCTTATATCTTGTGGTTAAACCTTGACTCAGCAATTTTTGGATGAGAACATGTTGCACAAACTTGATTTTGTTTGCTCCTATACCTTTTTCCTTTTTCCATTTTTTTCATCAAAGACTCTGACTAGTTGAGGATTTGATGAGGTATAGTTATGATAACACTGCATTGTTATATGTGCAGGCTATTGCTGCAATGATGCGTGCACAAGAGGCTGATCCTACTAATCTTGAAGTGCTTCTTGCACTTGGCGTGTCTCATACAAATGGTCAGCTATTTCCCCTTGACTTGTTCAGAACCAAGAATATAACCTTAAAATCTTAAACTATATTTGGTCATATGTTTTTACGATTGTGTTACATTTTGGATGATATTTTTTAGTATGATTTGGTGAAGAACTCTTGAATTAAGCACAAGAGCAAAATAATTACTTAAGACTTCAAAATTGCAGAGTTGGAGCAGGCAGCTGCTTTGAAATACTTGTATGGATGGTTACGTAATCACCCGAAGTATGGAACACTTGCCACTCCAGAGCTTTCAGAATCATTATATTATGCTGATGTAAGTGCTATTATGGAAGTATCTTTCTTTCTTTGTCCTTGAAGAATTTCCATTTTATGCATTTTAACCGGTGCTCTCAGGATCATAATCTTATTTACCACTTCTAACCTTTAAGACAATGGTTTGTCAGTTGAGTCTCTATGGTGCTTAAAATGTTTTCTTTAGAAAAAATATATAAACATCTGAAATTTGAGACGTGTGATGAAACTGTGAAACACTTGCATCTTATTATTTTATTACGAAAATATCAAGATGCCAATCCAGTGAGTTCATCATAGCTCCCATTGCACTATGAGGGTGGTAGATATATTGCACAACAAAGTTATTTTGGGCTCTTAACTCCAGCAAGATGACAATATTGCCTATGAATAATGGCAAAAGTTATGGCATGATGAGCTCATGCAAATTTGCATGCTGAAGATGCATCTGATATGAATTTTTGGAATACATGTGCTGGTATTCTGAATTTTATGTGGCTCACAGTACAAATAAACATGTTGAGATATAGAATCAAGGGCCTTTACCTATCTGTATATTGTGCAAACTTTGTTGCAAATCTTTGCCGAGTATAGTAACTCTCTCTCTCTCTCTCTCTTATCCTGTAATGTACTTTTTTATTTAAAAAGGATGATGCCCCTGGGGCCTTTTCTTCCAATTCACCCCCATCATACATCCTGAAGCAGCTACAGTATTTATCTAATCTCTCTTTTATAAACATGACTTGTTTTTATGACACTGGTGAGAGCCATACCCAATATATTTTTTAATGCCCTTGGATCTATTGCAACAAACAGATGATTGGAACTTGAAATAGTGTTTTTGTTGTAATACAAGTAGTCAAAATAATATTTATATTTTATACAAGTGCACATAATTTCTGAACATGTCATAGGTGAGTGTATTTGGTTTGGTTTACGTGGCCCCCTAAAGCTGACGAGTATATGCTACTTATGAATTAAATTTCATGCAGTGAGTCAATTTTTATTTTTATATTTATTTGAGACTCACGTTAAGTGTTGCTTTTGTTTCAGATCTTCTGGCTTACATTTTTTTTGTTTTTTTTTCACTTTTATGGTGCTTATCAAAATTCTACCTCTATGATGTGCAGATTGCTAGACTATTCAATGAAGCTGCTCAGATATCGCCTGAGGATGCTGATGTGCTCATTGTCCTAGGTGTGCTATATAATTTATCCCGTGAATATGACAAAGCCATTGCTTCCTTTCAAACAGCTTTGAAACTCAAACCACAGGATTACTCCCTGTGGAACAAGCTTGGTGCAACACAAGCCAACAGTGTACAGAGTGCTGATGCGATATTGGCTTATCAACAGGTATACGTCTGCTTAAATAAATTGAGTTGCTCCTGTGGTTTTTTTGGGTAGCCTTGCCATATATTACAGAATAACCGGACTGTGATTATGATAGGAGAATAAACGTTAGCTGTTTCAAACATGTATTGGTGCGCTTCAAATTTCTTCCCATGGTCTGGCAGTTGTCTTGGGTTTTCTGCATTTGACTTGTGTAATTAAGTTGATCCCTCTTCTTTAATCCTTTTTCACCTGAAACAAAACTTGGGATGTTCTAAATGGTTTAGTCCACTCAGATACAATGCCAGGTAATGGGTTCCATGTGGTTGAGATATGGCTGTAATTTCGACAGTTCCATAGTTTTGTTTATGGGGATGTGAATTGGTGTAGATGCATCTTATCTTGATTTTCCAGTTGGGTGTATCACAAGTAGCTTTTACATTGACTCCATCTTCTTGGTCCAGTGAAAGCATAATAGCCTGGGAGCTATCGTGCTCATAGTTTGTGTGACTCCACTGTTGTTTTTGGTTTTGGATTTTTTTCCTTCCCCTCCCCCTCCCTTTCCCACCCTCAAAGTACTTTGGAGGTGCTGTGCTCAGTCATTGGCCACAGGGGAAGAAATTTTCTGGTTGGAACTTGAGGGCTTGGGTCCTCTGTTCCGAAAGTCCTGCTCCAACTTCTGAAGCCAGCTGCCACAATTTACCGAATTAGCACTTTATTAAAAGTGATTTGGATCAGTAAATGTCAAGCCTTTGAATAGCTTCAGACATTGTTTTAACATTCTTCTTTCACTTGGTTACTCCTTTTGATTTCGTGAGGGAATGCTTCCTCTTTTCTTTTTCATGGCTTCTCTCGTGGTTCTGTCTATGGATGACTAGCGTTCGCTGATATTTACATGTTTGAGTACTTGGCATCAACTTCTTTTTTCATTGTTAATCTATTTCTTTTTGTTCATCTGATAATCTCCTTTTGGTTTTCCAGGCCCTTGATTTGAAGCCTAACTATGTTCGTGCATGGGCAAACATGGGAATCAGTTATGCCAATCAGGTAATGACCTCTGCTTATTGGCCACTCGTCATCCTAAGATAGGAGATCAATCTATCCAATCATCACAAGGGTTTTCGTGTATCTTTAGGTGAAACACTCATTGGTTATTTTTGGACCACTCAATTGTGGCACAATAAATATGATTAATCAGAAAATATTTTCCTTAAAAGGCAAAAGAGTAATATGCAGATTAAAAATTTGTCGTACTTGAAGAAATGCTATACAAAAAATAGTAAACCATGGTATATGATGCTTGGTGTGACATTTAGTGATATGATGTACAAGAAATTGTTCAACATACTCTGCATTATGTTCCTCTTAAAAAATGAGAGGACAATTATAAGGGGGAGGAAGACTTGGCACTCAAGAAATCTTACAGAAGAGAGCATTGTTTATGGAGGGAATTGGTTGTCTTGATTATTCAAGTCATTAACCTTAGTCAGTGAGACCTAATATAAGGTTGATAGAGAATATATGTATTTGAGTGAATATATTCACTGTCAATTCAATTGCTTTTGTAGCTTTAACATGAGAATTGAGATATCCAACTCATTTCTGAACTTATATGCGGTGAATTTAGTCATTGTAGTGAGTCCTTTAAATTAAATCTTAAACTGCGGATATCATAATGAACTGAACTACAGACGAGTAAATAAAGTGTTTCCTGTTGCCACCAGGGTATGTATGAGCAATCCATTCGTTACTATGTGCGGGCACTTGCTATGAATCCCAAGGCAGACAATGCTTGGCAATATTTAAGAATTTCATTAAGGTATATTTTCATGAGATATGATAATTCTGTTTTCTAATTTTTGTGTAATCTAATTATACCGAGCATCCTTCCTTTTTTGCCTTTTTCCTCTTTGCAGCTGTGCTTCTAGGAATGACATGTTGGAAGCTTGTGATTCTCGGAACATCGACTTTCTACAAAAGGAGTTTCCACTGTAATATTAATGTACACGATGGACGAATGATAGGTTCCTTTTTGCTGAGAGTGAAGGCCCACACAAAAGCCTTCTCCTTGTCCATTAAAGGCTACCTGCAAGAGTTGGATTGTAGGTATGGCTCCTGGTTTTGCCTCTTCTGATCTTGAGAAGAAAACCAAACATGGATATTAGAGCCATTTAAAACAAACAATTTTATGTAGTTTCAAATGCTATAGCACAGCGTGACATTATTCTTAATACAGGAATAGGAAAGGCCAAATTTATTATAACAAGTATAATAAATATATGAATGAAATTGATCATGTCATTGCTATTGAGAGAGAAAAATAAAATTGCTTATAAAATTTGATGTAGCTGTTGGTTTCTTTCGATGGGGTCATAGCAACTTTTAGTATTTGAGATTTTTTACGACTTATGCGTATTTGGGGATCTGAAAATTTCAGGCATTTTTTTTATAAAAATCGAAGAAAGCAGTGGGTGACTCTTTTTATTTTTTAATAAATGACAAGAAAATTTTAGCCTGATAAAAATTAGAGAAATTGATGTGGCTATTTTTGTTTGCAAATTACAGGATACATTTCTTTTTTCATTATGTGAGCTCCAGGAGTGATCAACCAACCATTTATTTATTTTGTTTGCTAAGACCTGTAAAATAAATAATTCCAATTTAAATAAAAAAAATGTAAATACAAAGGCAATTATATTTATAACATAATTACACTGTAAAAACAAAGCTTCTTATTAGGTCAACTGTAGTAAGACTACAATATGAAATTAGTTCTATCAAAAGTGGAATGATTATAGGAAGTTATGGTAATACAACGGAAGCTAACTGTGATAAAAAATTTTGATTAAACTCCATTTTTATCAACCAATAAAAGAAACATCCCATGTTGAGATTGGTAAAACATTATAAAGCAAATCATCATCACTACTAACTGGAACTATACTCATGCCATCAATCTCTCCCATCGCACCACCAAAACTGTCTTGTGCTTTAGGGTTTGTATCAATATAATCTACTCCTTCAAACCATAAAGAAGAACTCTCTTGTGCATTTGTACTAAAAATAAAATTATCTACTCCTTCGAACCATAAAGAAGACTGGCTGACCTCAACCCTAGTCCTACCATTGTTAGTCTCTAAAATCCCATTAGAGTTAAACTCACTAATTTTGCAGTCTTGAGCCCAATTCTCATCCATAGAATCATTATTACTAAGACTGTGCAAATCCAATGGCCAAGAATTACTTTCAACGAAACTAACATCAGTGATCATCTCAGTACCATCCACAGCCACTTGATTAGAATTTTCTGATATTATATCCAAATTCTCAAGTATGCCAAGTTCATCATCACTATCCACAGCTTCAATCGCAAGAGCTTGTTCTTGAACTTTTTCATCTCCAATTTTCACTGTAGTATCAAAAGACTTCAATACCTCCTTAAAACCCATCAGCTTAAACTCGAGAAAATTAACCATCTCAAATAAGTTCTTACCATATAACCCATCAACAAGTTTGGAATACTTCTCAATAACCTCAACCATCTTCTTTCTAATTACCTTAGCTTTCTTTTTTAGAAGGCTCTTCTTTTTAGCTTCCAAAAACTCCAGAAAAGTAAGTTCTTGCCTTTGGTTCTTTTCAAGCCCTTTATAAGACAAAATTGCAGCTTTTACCTCAGATTCTTGCTCCGGAAATGTGTTAACAGACCCATCAGGTCCAAAACAAACAAGACAAACAGAAATATCGCACAATGTCTGGATTTCCTGAGCTTTTTTTTGAAGAGTAGGACTTCTCTTCAGAAAAGAAGCTGCTTTTATTTTCTCGTTGCCGTCGCGAACTTTCTTCAAGAAATTTGCCTTTCGAGGCTCTTTTGTCTTGGACGGAGCCATTGGACTTTGGACTTGAAGAATACAAACACAATAGCAGGGAAGAGACGGAGAGGCAGTAGAAATAGGAGGGTTTGCATTGCAATAATGTCTAAAGTGAAGAAAATCTTTGGGGGAATATTTTCTTTCCATCTGTGACCAGGATATTCTGTGTTTTTCTCTTAGCATTTATTGTTTTTTCCCTCTTTCCTCTAAAGATTCTCCGGTTGCTTGTTCCTAAGGGGAGAAGGAAAGAGAGGAAACAACGTTCAGTTTATAATTGGATTTTGGTTTTGGGAAGTACTTACGACTTACGGACTTGCCAATAGGCATCATTAATTTATTGAGCAAAGTATTGGTAGGCGGTAGGGTATTTTAGGGTAACCAGACCGCTTTAAGGCTTTTAAAGGAGCTACCTATGAAATCAATATAGATAGAGAAATTACTATTGGTAGTAATTAATGGATTTTGGATCGACACAGATAGTAAAATTACTATTCATAACAAATAAAAATACATATAAATAGTGAAATTATTACCTGTAATAAATATGAATGTATATATTTGAATAAATGGACATGTTGTCCGTTATATTAAACGAGTAAGAAATTACTATCGGTAGCAATCAACGGATTTTGGATCGATACAGATAGTAAAATTACTACCTATAACAAATAAATGAATTTAAAATAGATATAAATAGTGAAATTATTACCCATAACAAATATCAATGTATATATTTGAATAAATGGACTTGTTGTCCGTTATATTAAATGAGTATAGTCATGGGTACTTAATGATATATCCTATTTATTATGAATAAAAAATTATTTTAAATAAGTTCGAATTTAAATAGTTTAAAATTTATAAATACCTTACCCGATTAAACAACACGTTAAATGGATTTGAGAATGGTACTGGTACTAATGGAAGCGGTGCGAGTTTTTTAGGATACTTGTCCGGTTTTGATTCATTTGATGAAGATACATATAGTATATAAAATAGTTTAGGACGGATATGAGTAATAAAACTACTACACAACGTATATGGGTAGGGAACAAATATATATCTTTAGATATCTGCTATACTAAATAGGTCTGGTCATGGATACTTATGATGCTATAACAATCTATCCATTATTAGTAAAAAATATATCTTAAAGAAATTCAGGTTTGGATAGTTTAAAAAAAAAGTTGCAAATACCCTAACAATTTAAAGTACCCTTTTAAATAGATTTGACAGGGATACATGTAATTAAATTTTAAACGGATTCGAATATGAGTATTCAAATGAGTACTTAAACGGGTTTGAGACAGGTACCGATTTAAAATTATAAATAAAATACAGATACGAATAATTCAAAATATTCGAATATTCATCTCTCTTCCATTCCTCGATACGGATTATAAACTTTTGAAAGGGTTCAGATGGGATAGTTTAAAATTTCATCCTTAAATTATGATTTTAAAGAAAATAATAAGTTACGTATCTCATAGTTACAATTTAGGAATCACTTTTTGAGTCAATTGACAATCAATAGAAATTATTTTTTGATCGAATGATGAAAATACTAATGGAATCATAAGTTAGGGATCTTATAATTAATTTTTAATAACAAAGGATTTCATACTAATTTTAAGTAATAGATTTCTTACCCGATCATTTTTTTAATATGTAATTTCTGCCCTATTCCTGTTTGGAAGAAACTCTCTTTCTCTCTAGTTTTCTAACTCTAAATTTAGTTTGGGACTGCTGCTGTTTATCAGCGGTAATCCATGCCTCCTATTTTCTATTATCTCTTTTGCTTCACATTCTTTTGCTTTTAATCTTATTTTGCTTTAATAAACGTAAATATATTTTTTCTATAATAGATCTGTCTTTTTTTTTTTGTTATTGTTAGTTGTCTTCATATTTAGAGTTTTTTTTTTTGTCCATACTTTATGAGGGTAGTCCATTCTCTACAAGAGTTTATTACTAAATAAAAATATGATATTTGATTTTATTTGGTAGGAGATTTTAAATCTTTATTTGCAGGTATGGATCTTCGATCGATGGAGTCTGGTAGTGCGACATGTTCCCCATTAATGTTATTGACACATCTGTATTCGTCATATGTTTCCAATTATTGGAAAGCAATCCAGTTATAAAAGATTCAAATGAGTTATTATTTTGATGTTCAAATCAACTAATGGACTAGTTACTGCTGCAAAAATTTGATGTTATTGACGCATCTGTATTCGTCATATGTTGCAAATTATTGAAAATCAATCTAGTTATAAAAGATTCAAAGGAGTTATTATTTTGACATCTAAATCAATTAACGAACTAGTTACTGCTGTAAAAATTTATATTTTTGTCAAAATCAACTCTAAGCAGAAAAATCTAATATTATATTTTTTTAGTTTTAGTTTGATTACTCAAAAAGATATAATTTTGTTTTGTTTCGTTAAAAAGATTAGCGAAGCTACTAATAGTAAAGTTCTTTATTTGTAATTCTTGAATTTAATATTAATGAATTACATTTTCAAAAAAAAAAAAAAAAAAAAAAAACTCTAAATTTAGTTTGGGACTGCTGCTGTTTATCAGCGGTAATCCATGCCTCCTATTTTGCTATTATCCTTCTTCTTGGCGCTTCAACATTCTTTTTGCTAACCTTGTAGGGCATAGAGCTTCTCCGAAAGTTGAGTGGGTTAAAAAAAAAAAATTCGCCTCAATCGGTACTCCCGACCGAACCATCCTTTTAATCTTATTTTGCTTTAAATAAACGTAAATATATTTTTCTAATAATAGATCTGTCTTTTTTTTTTTTGTTTATTGTTAGTTGTCTTCATATTTAGAAGTTTTTTTTTTTGTCCATACTTTATGAGGGTAGTCATTCTCTAACCAAGAGTTTTATTACTAAAATAAAAATATGATATTTGATTTTATTTGGTAGGAGATTTTAAATCTTTTTTGCAGGTATGGATCTTCTGATCGATGACCGGTGGGCTCAGTTTGGCGGACATTGTTTCCCCCATTTAATCGTCTATTGACGACATCTGGTACTGCGCGTACATCACTGTTTTCCAAAATATAGTGGGAGAGAGGCGAATCTTCTACCTTCAGTCTACTAAATAAGGATTTCAAAAATGTAAGTTATTATTTTGTCGTTCAACCATCCAAACTAATGGAGGCCAGTTACTGCTTCCGATGACAGGAGTCTTCCGTCCGGGGGCACCATAACGCCATTCCGCGAGGAAATTTGAATGTTATGAACCGCATCTGTATTCGTACATATTTGGCAAACTTATTCAGAAAATCACAATCTCTTTAAACGTTTATAAATGAAGGATTCAACTAAGGAGGTCTACTCTATATTCTTTGACACGACTAAAAATACACATTAACGGGACACCGCTAGTGGTACTGCTCGTTATCAAAATTTAGATTTTTGTAAAACTCAACTCTAGAGGCCAGACTGAGACAAATCTAAAATAGTTAAGTAATTTTTTTCTTCTCATTATTCAAATTTCGCTTGCTTAGTTAAACTTACTCAGTAAAGATTATAAGTATTTTATGTAGTATTTTATTGTCTGTTAAAAAAGATTAGTCTCGAAGTCTACTAATAGAGTTAACCAAATGTGTTCTATTATTGTAAGTTGTGCTTGAATTTAATAGTAACCATGAATAAATAGTCTGTTTATGCAAAAAAAAAAAAAAAAAAAGAAAAATTCCATATGAAAAAAAAAAAAAAAAAAAAAAATTCTGCCCTTAAATGGGTTTCTCCCCTGTACACATAGGGCTGGATTGTCCTTAAATGGGCCATTGAAAATATGTAATATATTTGAAATATTATAATTATTTGAAGTATGCTTAAATTGCAACATTACCTTATATATATTGGTGATATATTATGTTATCTGATAGTAAAAAAAAAAAATGTTTATTTTGTAGAATGTATGCATGAGTGATGTCATTAATCCTTCTCTTCACAGCCACAACAAAATGTTAGAGAAATGATAAGCAGGAATTTTAGCCATTGAAAGCAGACTCTCTTTTGTTTTTCAAGTATTCTTAGAAATTTTAAGATTTCTACATAATAATTTTTCTAAGTTTGTAATTAGTTTTCCTTTTATAGTTTTTGTTGATATTTCTGTTTTTAAATTTTTATTTTAATTTTTCTGTGCAAAAGTTTGCATTTTGGAAAACAAATTAATGAACTAAAAGAAAATCACATTTTATTTATAGTTTTTCTTATTAAAATGAAAATTTCTTTTTTTTTTTTTTTTTGCAATTTTTATTGGAAAACAAGGTGTCATAGTACGACACTACGCAAAGAAAAACACACTCACATTTTTTTATAGTTTTTTCTTTATGTAAAATGAAAAATTTCTTTTGGTCCTATTTTTTCGGTTTTTGGGTAGATCATGAAACAGAAGACCTCTCTAAACCCATTGCTAGCCTCTTCATAGCATCAAAAACAACCATTCAGACGCCACACCACAAAGAGATCGGTTTGATTGATAACAAGTTAGCAGAATACCACCACGCAGGAAACTCCAGAATCTGCATGGCTCTTGGGACATGGTAAGAAGCATCAGGCTGTGTGAGAGACTAAGTATTCCTGCAGCTACAGAGATTTTGCCCACACAACAAGAGAAAAGTTGCTTGAAAACACCAAATGCATCATTAATTTAGGAACGAGCTCTCTCTTGAGTCGAACGTGCGGCCGGTATGTCTGGCAGTAACAAGGACCGGTCAGATCGGCTGAGAGCAAGCGCAGAGCCCAAAAACTTTATCTTCCCTGAACATACTACTTAATCCAGCATACAGGACTTATCATAGAATTCTACCACAACTTAAGAAAATCCACGAGAAATTGCGCTAATTTGAAATGCATAAGGAGACCGCGCATAGGCTCTATGCGCTCCATACAACCCGTTGTCGATTTTTTTTTTTTTTTTTTTTTTGGTAATGAAAAGAGACTAAACACCGCTAGCTATGGCATCAACAACCATGAGCCACACCACAAAGATCGTGATTGATACAAGGCAGAATATCCACAGGAGGAAACTCCAGAATCTGCAGGTCTTGGGACATGGAAGAAGCATGCTTTGAGAGATAGTCCGCGCAAGAATTTGCCTCACGGAAAGTGTGACACAAATGAAAATTAGGACGAGCCTTTAGCAACTGCCGGATGTGCAGAACAAGGACCTATGCTGAGCAGGCAGAGCAAACTTTCCCTGAACAATATTTACCGCTAACAGACTATCAGATTCAACCACCAACTTAGAAATCCACGAGAAATTGCTAATTGAATGCCAGTAAGGAGACCCCATAGCTCAGCTCCCAAAACCGTTGTAATC